CAGCGTGATTCCGGAAGCGTAAGCCCTTAACGGCTTAATCAACTAGTAATAAAAATAGGTCAGTGAATGCAAATCAATGATTATGCTTTACGATCCTCAAATGAACTCTGTAGCAAGGAGGAAACAGAGAAGATCAGCGCTGTGTTTGACTCAGTCTCTGCTACTGATAGGGTACTGAGCTAGTGGACCAATCGCAACGGCAAAGACGAAACGAGCTATGAACTTCAACATCATTTTTAACCTTTTTTGGGGAGGGGGAGGGGCCTGCGGTCATTTTTGATGAGCGCCCCTTGCACCCTAAATTGGGAGTGCCTCCGCACGTTGCTACCAGGGTATTGTAGCAGATACCTGAGCGCAGCCGATGCACCAGCACTGGCCATCAGTATGGCAAAGACTGCTGCAGAGTGAAGTTTTGATGGAAACCTTATGGTCCGGCCGACCATGAGCGGGAGCACGCCTGATCACCTGGGGAAAACCCATTCTTGGATGGCAAAAGCAGAGTCTTCCCTAATCGGTCACCGGTGGAAATGAGTCATGAGTCCACTGCGACAACAACATGCGGCACGTCTTATGGCTGCCTCGCAGCCAGGAAGCACCAGCTCAACCAAAGCCCGAACTCCGTTTTCTGAGAATATCGATCTCGTTTTATTGGATTCGCTAGGTGGCCTGGTTTGGGAACCACTTCAATGTATGAAGACAAGCATTGCTAAAGTCAGCGCGGAATAGCCCTCTTGGCTGGCTTTGGGGTTGCGAGAGAATCGTCAGAAACGTCTCAGATCCTCCTTCCTCCGAATGTACACCAGACCTCACATTGCATGCCAACTCACCACGTTCTGCGGGAGTGGCCCAGAGCCACAGTTTTCTTCAGTCCACCGTAATAATGACATTGGTCATTCTCTCGCTGGCTACCTCGATACTGATCGTGCCTAACCCTTTGCTTTGCTTTTGAGAACTACGTATCTTCCAGGTAGAGAAAGTTAAAGATTTGCAGGTCACCCAATATATACTTTCTCCAGGATTCTGTCAACTCAGTTTCCTTCGATCGCTGGGGTGGAGCTTTCAAAACGCACGTAATGTAAATGCAACGGATAACTCAGTGGCCTAATGGGATCGTGACATAGTATTAGTCAGTTGTTCGAAGAGTAAGAAGTTGAATAAGCAGGAGTGTCGAAAAGTTGCGCAGTATATGAGACCAGCCCAATAGTTGCGTTTGCTGTCTAGGTCACGGAAAGACATTTGGATTATCAGTACAGCTGCAAGCGCTCGTTGTAGCCGACGCAGTCAGCTCTTACCATTTTTCTGGATCGTGAGTCAGATAAATTCAAAATGTTATGTTTCGTGCATACTGTGTTAATGTAATAAATGAAGATATTAAAAAAAAAGCTTTGAAGCATAGTCTCATTCTCTCATCGTCAGTCAACATTTTAGAGAGTACTTCAATGCCTTCCAAACATCAAAAATTTGACCGTATTTCAATGACACCTATATATTTTGCTTTTCAGTTCGAGGTGTTCCTGAATCAACTCGGGTGTGGGGACAGCCACCACCAGCAGTTCTTAGTCCATGTTTCTGAAATCATCTAGAAGATCAATCACTAAATGCACTGTATTTATTGTTGGTGGAGGCTTATTGGCTTACAGCTCCGCCGAATTACTCGCCAGTTCGGAAACGTTTTATAGTAAAGCGGTAGGTTCTAGTAATTGTATAAGGATTTTCTTCGAGCTGGTTGTCGACAGATAGCTGGTTTGAGACGCGAACGGTCGCGATACAGTCAGATGACTGCAGCTTTGTCGTTACCGCTCGCATCTTATGGTGTTCACTCGTCGACATCGAGGGCATGACGCAAGAATGTCGCCCATGCCCGCGCGTTGAGAAGTGTTGCAGGAATCGGTCCAAACCATTTAGTGTGTCGTGCTGTTTTCACCTCTGCGCTTCATCCCTTCGTGGCAAGATTGTGGCAGAATATCCAAGCACTCCTGTCGCGAAGGGCTGAAGTGCAAATGTGGTGAGGAGAGCGAAAACACACGGTTCTATCGGCTCAAGTAATATACGCACGTTGCTTACGCGCGGACAAATGGGGCGCGAACCACTTTTGGCACATAACCTCATTAGTGAACGACTGATTACGTTGGTGACCAGTACACATAACAGTTATAGTATTTGTCAGACTTTTACATTCAGCATCTTACTAAAATTTACTTGAGAAATCAATCAGTGCGAAATGTACAGCGATTTCAGATGAATGAAAACACTAAGTCATCGACACATTTGCATGGTGGCAATCTCGCAAAAGAAGTAAATGACTGTCGGTTCGATCGATGGGGTCTCATTTTAACTCGTACTCAGCCAGTAGAATCGAACGCAAATACCAGAGTAAGTGTTTGAAGTGCAGATGTTATTCATCAATCGCTATTCTTTACCATGACAAAAACGCAGTATGCTCAAAAGCAGATCTGTTTTTACATTTCGGGTTCATTGATAAGATAATTATTATTCAACTTGGGGGAGTAATGATGGCTATGAGAGGTTTCATGACTATGAAAGTATAGAGAACAATGCCGAATTGTGCATGTGATTTCGCGGGAATATGGGGGGGCTCCCAAAATACCGATCACGATTCGCGTGGCAGACGCCGCGCACGGCGAGGCTTGGATCAGTACCGCTGTCCTCTCTCTACAATACTGGGAGCGATCAGGTATTCCCGACAATGTCAGATCGGCGCCGCAGCGCGGCGGACACGCCCCTCGCGCGCGGCCGATTGGCTAAGGGCGCGGCGAGTTTGACATACTCTCATCCGTCCACGTTTTTTCTCCTTTAACTTTTCATATCCTATATCCTCTTCGTTTTGCCGTTTAACTTCATGTTTCTTGAAGCGTCACTTCAACGAATGTTCCAGAATAAGGAGTGGCGCTATTGTAAGATATGGAACATCCTCTAGACTAGGCTTAGGAAGGCGAAAACTTCGGGGAGAACGAAAATTGCTAGGAGTTCAGAAGTTTCTCCTCCCGCAGAAGCTTACAGTCATGTCATATATCTAAATAAAAAGCCGGTCTTATGTGTTCTCTTCTAATTCGGGGAAGGAGACATTCCTGTCAAAGCCTGTGCATTTCACCCTCTTCCACATATTTTCGAAAAAAGGGCACATACATAAGTGTTAAACAATCACATAAACATGTTACTTGCTTTGTTGTGTTTGCTTTTACAATCAATAATTAATCATAATCATAATAATATGTACCTGCTGAGTACAACCTAATCGTGTTAGTAACATATTGAAAGTGACTAGCCTCGCAGACTGCGTCTGACATAGATCAACTTCTTTAGTAAAGTTCTCCTGGCAAGAATGCAGTCTGGCCCCGTTCAGCCGGGCTGCTCGATGCCACATCGCCCGATTTGCCGCAGCAATATTACCAGCGAGTCGCCGCGCGCGGGCGAACGACTGTCACAATCGGGAGACTTGATAATATACCCCACTAGATACAGATATACATATATCTATGCGATTACAGTTTACTGTTTGATTTCAGTTCCTTGGAAAGCAGCTGAAAAATCCTATTGGATTGGCAGCTGGCTTCGATAAGAACGGTGAGGCTATTCGTCCTCTAGCGGAATGGTCCGGTTTCGGTCTTATCGAGATCGGCACTGTCACGCCCATTCCACAGCAAGGTAACCCACGACCGCGGCTATTTCGTCTCCTAGAAGACGAGGTGATTGATATTCTTTGTGAGAACATATCTCAGAAAGTTAATTTGTAAATCATTGAGTTTGAAGGCATTCTATTTCAGGCTATTATCAATCGTAATGGCTTCAGCAATGACGGCGTGGGCCGCGTACAACAGCGGGTAAAAGCTGCTAGAGACGAATGGAATGACAACTTGGCGATGTTTGGTGTGAATATAGGAAAGAATATGCTTTGTGATGAAGCCAAGTATGTTCAAGAACATCAGCAAGCAGTTTATGAATACGGTATCTGATTTGATAATTAAAGTTTTTTCCTAGGCTCGATTATGAGATTGGTGTCAATTATTTTGCGGCCTATAGCGATTACGTGGTTATCAATGTGTCCTCTCCTAATACTCCCGGTTTACGAGCTATTCAAAAGAAATCGGATTTACAAAATGTGAGTTTTTGACTATGTGTGCTTATTTCCTACAAATATCACAATACAGAAATTAGTTGTGAGTTAATTTGTTTCCCAAATCCACTAATTCAGTTACTAACCTATGTAAAACATGCCGTTGACGTCATGGAATTAGATCCACGCCCAAAGATGCTCCTCAAGATTGCTCCTGATCTCACAGAATCCGAGAAGAAGGATATTGCCCAGGTACGATATTTCCGAGTTATACAAAGCTACGAATGTACACCTTCACCTCACCCCGCTTCAAGTACAACTCTTCTCTCCCTTAGTTTGAGGGGTCGCGAATAGATTTTTGGAGAAATCAGTTGGGTAGCAGTATCACTTAGCTCAAAAGTGGTGGCTCTGTCGCGACTCGAAAGTGCGCCACAAGGGCGCTAATGCCCCCATTGACCGCTGTCACCGTTGCCATTCTTATTATTCACGGCATATATGGTGTTTGTGGCCCCTAGCGCTACCTGCGCTCTTTCGCGTTTTTCCCGTCCCACCCTCCTCGCAGCGTTCTGCTTCGGAGTTATTTATGGTTCCCTTTGTTTTTTCTCCACTGACCGTTCTCTTCGAACCTCCTGTTTCATTTTCGAGCAAAATACCTACAAATACGATCGCGATCCGTGCCGAGTATTTTTCTAGTTAGTTTGGCTCCTATTCTGTAGCAGATGTTGCATTGTGCCTTCACTTATCGTGCTGTCCTTCCTATGACCATAGACACAACATCGGTCGTCGCTAACCGTACTGCGGATGGCGGTGTGAGCGAAGGCGAAGATTACTTTCGGCTGCAGCGAATCACGCCCTGACTTCCTAGCTTATACTTCCTCTCTGGAACCAGTGTACTGTCCGCAATAGTCTAGAGGATACGAGTTGTAACGTTAACAGTGGCAAGTCCACACTGGTTTTAGCACAGCTCCAATGAACAATACCATCATGGTAGCCATCAGCACTCCTTACATTAGTTTTTATTCTAGGTAGTTATGGATTCGAAGTACGGTATTGACGGTTTAATAGTTTCAAATACGACCATTGCTCGCCCTGATGGACTAAGAAGTGAGAACAAGGTGGAACCTGGTGGTCTCAGTGGTGCACCGCTCCGTAAAATGAGTACAGAATGTATTCGAGAAATGTACAGGTACTTGGCTTTGCCCATCCGTTCACTTTCAGTTGTGATTCGGTGTTTTTCTCAAAGGAAATAAAGTAAAGTGTTGTAAAGCTCTACGGCTCACGAGTTTTAGATTCACCAATGGACGAGTACCCATTGTAGGATGCGGCGGTGTGTCAAGCGGCGCTGACGCGTATGAAAAAATTCGAGCCGGAGCATCAGTTGTGCAGCTCTACTCAGCTTTAGCATATCACGGATTCCCAGTTGTAGGAAAGGTGAATCACAATATTAATTTTGACTTGTTTTGTTTTTAAATGCTGTTTTAACGCCGAGTTCGCTTTGAATGTTCCACAAGAATACTGGTTAAGAACACAACTTGCACCCCAGGCGGGACTCTAACCCGCACCTCTTGCTCACCAGTAGCGTACCTTAGAGCGCCCTTGCCCGGAAAGCGAGAGGTGCAGATTGAAGTCCCGCCTGAGGCAAAAGTTTTCTTCCCAGTATTCTTATAAATCACAATAGTTTTATTTTGCTCAGAAGGAGAGAAAATCAAGAGACAGTTTTGATAACAGGCAGAATCCCTCCCGCCTCTATGAATTCGCCATTTCAATTCGAACACTGTCACGCGCAACCTTCTTATTCTGACCCGTTCACGCTCGTTTCCATGCGCTGTAGAAACTTTTCAATGAACTGAGAAGCAGTTACGGTTGGCATTCTGTGAACACAAAATCGTAATGTCGCAAGATCGCAAACGTCATAACGCATAGTGTAGATGCGATCCTGGCCGTGCGTCATCTTTCGCTTTACTTCACTCTCATTTATCGCCATCGTCTTTTTTTCTTCTTGCTTTATGGATGAATTCATTGCAAATTCGTGCTTGCTTTGTAAAGTGGAAGTGCCTTCCCTTGCAAAAATGTTCACTTTAGCATTAGCC